TGGTGATTAAGTAAGAATGAAGAGCTACTGGAGAGTCTAACACCACAGAATGGAATATCGGGTTGTCGGGTGGCTGTGACCCCAGCAGAAAGCTCTCCCGGAGCTACATTTGCATACTACGTCGCTACGCACTGATTTTTCGATTCTTCCCTTGGGAGAAACCTTGCCCCCCTTATTTGACGAAGTTGAGAATGTGGCTTTCATCGAGGCGATGTTGGATGGCTCATCTTGCCGTCTGGGTCCGGTCGACATAGCGCTTGAAACATACCGTAGCGTGCTACAACAAGGCACCCAGATCGCGCGTTATGAGATCTCTCCCCGGACTAGGCGTCTTTTACAAGTTCTATGAGAAGGTTTCAAAAATATCATAAAGGATTTCTCCAGCGACTGAGTGATGCTCGGCAATCCAAAAGAAATTAGGATCGAGTTGATCGGGTCAAGGTGAAGGATGTTATCTATCTGAAATCTGGCTAGCATAGAATGTTTTTGCACTGGATCAACGCACGTTGCCTGGGTTTGCTCGGATACGTAGTCATCTCCGATCACCGTCTTTTGTCGATTATCCCGACGGGTATCCCAACTCACCGTCAAGAAAACTGTTAGCTACAAAAGATGCCCATTCAAGGCGTAGACGCACCTTCCACCATTCTTGTGCAATGGCTCGGCTTCGTTCGAAAGCTAGCATGGAGGATCTCATCCGGTCGAGACATAAGATAATCCGACGCTTGTTTTATAACTCGACGGTCAACCGCTTCGCTGATCCCGGCCAGGAGCGGATGAGGGTGCTGGGCGGTCTTTGGAGGACACTCCGCGACACAACGAAAGATCGCCTTCAAAAAGCGACAATACGAGGCGACTTCGCATTGATAGCTTGCTTATTCCTACCGGTTTCCGCAGGACTATGAAATCGAGTCCTCCCTCCTCTCGCCCTTGTTCACCTCTCATACCGCTGTCGAACTATGAGTTATCCTACCACCAAGCATCTTCTCGTGCCCTCGTCAGGCACACGTCTCTCAACTGAAGGTAAGTGTGTGGCAGCTTCAAGAACTTTCCATATTGAATTGTCAACTACTGTTATTGGGTTTCGGGAGTATGAATGAATTGCTTCTGTTCACAATTTTCTCCTTCTTTCTTTCAATGACCTTACTTGTGATTCGTACTATTGGATGTAAGTGCCGGTGTAGGCTAGTCAGCTGAGGTAGCTGAGGCAGCCTCATGTTGACGCTCGTTCAAAAACTTTCGGCGACTGTCTGATACTTCATTTTCTCTCTCCCGTCACCTCTTCCTGTAGTGTATTCTTCCCTTTGGCTACTACTTGAAGCTCGGTCGCACTATACTTATGAGCTTGATACTGGCATCATGCAATGGGAAGGACTTGCACGAACTACCAGCTCTCTGAGGATTCCCTAGTTCTCCACAACAATTAAGAATAATGACTCAGCTACTTCGACCAGTCGTCATTGCCTGCGCAAGAAGCTGTTAGATGCCTTGATCACCCATACTTACACTGGAGGGCTTTGGTGGCTGAGTTGGAGTAGCCTGGGTCTCTTTGGTAATCAGCTTGAAGTGAACGACTGTACAACTCTGTGCACCATGCCGACCGATGACTTTATTAATCTTTCTATAATTTCAAAGCTCCGCGTCGCACTTTCACTACTCCTCCAGAATATTCTCCTTCCAGTGTCTACTTGCTTGAAATATCATTCTGCCGCTGACGACGAATGCTTCCGCTGTAAGACCTAGGCCACAGGTTTCTACGATGATCAGCCCGCAGTACGTGCCACCGCCTTTCATCGTCCGTGACATATACGACTCTGTATCACAGCAAGCATGGACTCTTCCACATCGGTGGCAAATCTAGCATTCAGTCGCAAAACGGGTTTCGCTCTAGATCAGAGACCAGCATTAATTCACAACGAGACAGGTTATCGAGGAAACGCCGTGGCTTCCTGAGGAAAGGAAGAGACTTCACACTTATCATCATTTTATACCAAGCCGGATGATATAGCATCGATCTCTTACATACGTTCGTGCTGGACTATTATTTAATTTCTGGTTAATGCTACTGCTGACAACCCGGCCAATAGCAGTTGCTTCAGATTTCCTCATTAGCCGATACAACTGGCTCTGACCGTGAAATAGCAGCGGAAAAAGACAAGTCGATGACAAGACACCTGTAGTCTGACCGGTCGGGTTTCAGTAACTACCGCCTTCTTTCAAAGTCTTCCCGCGTTTATTAGCTAACATAACCAAGAATATATGCGTGGAGTCCATATGGTTGAACTAAGTTTAGAAGAGTTGAAGGTCACATTCGTCGCCATGAGGGTTGAGAATATGAAGGGCGTAGGGCACACGTGGTTAGTTCAGATGTCTGGGCCGTATTTACGTATTTGTTGACCAGTCTCGGTGGTTCTGTCACGAAATATTCTCGTATTTATAGTAGAATGAACTGAAAAGCCCCTGAACGATACTCAAGGTCACGACAAAGTTGCTTAACCGCACAATATATAAAACGGAGATGATCTCCAACACCCTTTGAAAGCAAACCAATCAAGGTTCCGGCGTCCATGTTTCCAGATGATCGTGTTATCATAGGGGCCAATGCCACGGAACATCCACGGATGCCTCGCAATTCCCGACGTAAGTTGGCATGTGAAACCTTAATACCGACGATAGCATGCATCTCTTGTGCTCTTCTTCGTCATTCTAGTATTCCGAATGGCATAATTATGCCACGGAGAAGACATATTGCCTCTACTCTGACAGTCAAGGATCGTTTCTATAGTCGCTAGAGTCTTGACGGAGACTCTTCATCTCACCTATGATACTCGCGCAGAGGACTCGCAAGCGGGACCCGAGAGATTTTGAGTCACTCAAATTTGATATTTCTATCACGTTTATAGTCTGCTTCAAAGTATAGGTCAACGCATCGACTGCCGTCGCACCGCGATCACAGGATATTCTCCCAGCTCTCCGCCGCTCGCGTTGGCTCAGTAAACGGCTTTTCTGGGACTCACCATATTGATAGTACTCAAAATAGAATACACGGCTTGAATAGTTCGGTAGTCTGAGCGAAGGACAGGGACTGTTTCCAACGCAGTGACCTGCACTTCAATGTCCAAACGAGAGTGTTGATCTCGCCACAATACTGAAAATTCCATGTCAAACTAGAAACTTCGCAACTTCCACCACATTATTGCTATGCTAGCACACATCACAATGCAGAGGTGATTTTATAGACGCATCATGCGTCGCAAGACGTCTAGAGCCTCAATGTCCATCTTACCGTCAATGCGGTGTGAAACGGCCAGGTTTTCGCATGATTCTCATTTTCACATCATCGTTAATCATATTTCATCCCTTAAATATTCAATTTAAAGATATTGGGGCTTTATGTCTCTCTATTAATTAGGTAGTGAAGGGAGTCCAAAGTACGACTTGTCTCCCTGAAACATGTCGTCGATACCTACGTTTATCCGCCTTCATCATGCAAGTAATTGAGACTAGGTAGGAACGTTATATACCAAAGCTGAAAAAGATAATCTAGTTGTGAGTTAGTATCGGCAACGGAGAATTTACGAGAGTTATAGCTGGCGCCCCAATGGTTTCTCGCGTGAGGCATCGTCTCACGTTGAACGGTACTTAGTTCCAGGAACAGTACAGTCTAGGCACATCATTTTCTGCCGCGCAAAGAATCTTGAAGGATAGTCCCATGTCTTTTTATAGCTAAAATATCTTCTATTCCGACACGGCCGGCATCCGAGTCGGTGGTCGTTAACATCATGCACGAACTACGACCTTCCAACTCTCCGCACCTAGGAGCTCTCGCAAGATGGCGAGACGCCAAGGAAGTCAAATTGATAAGAAAGCCTGAAAACCTTCAATATTGCTCTTATACAATGTAGCTTTCTTATACTCTTGCTTTTACCATTATGAAGTTCGATCGGGATCGGCGGAGGACTGTATCATACCTCCGGCAGGCCTTCTAGACGGACCACAATGTTGCATAGACTGAAGGTTGTTCCTCATCCGTCAAACTTCGTGGGTTATACGCGACAGGAATAGAACAGTGTCAATGAGTCTAGCACGATATCTAGGATCGGTCGGTTGTGGGAGCTTTGAATGACTGGCCGGGTTAAGGTAACAATGACCAAAGTGCGCTCACCACTGTAGCCTTGAAATCTGGCAATCACCTGGATGGATTGCGGGGAGTCGTGCGGATGCCCGATTGCTCGGAAGTGACTCTCTCCCTTTATAAGTGTGCAGATGTGGAGGGTCAGCTGAAGTCTACAGCTCGTTCAGTGATTTCAGACATGGACGTGGACGCCAACAACGGTTCAAACCTCATTATCACCACGATAAAAGGCGGAGGAACGCCTGAGAGGAGGTTTCGCTCAAAGCCGACAAGATGAGTGAGGGGTTGCATGGCATCTGTAAGTGGCCAGAGCCGTGATCAGGGGCATACGTTCCACCCTCCTTACAGATAATCCTTACCAGGCATAGACTAGGTGCCTTAGACGTCTTCGTCCAGCACTGTTGGGACATCATTCGCTCGAGTATTCCGTCAGTATTGATCCTGTCACACGCGCCGTCCATTCAATGCTGGCAGGTTGGCAAGTCGATATCATATTGAGGGCTCGAGACAGTTAAGTCGTCACAGAGGCTTGTGATTGTGGAATAAGGCAGAGTATGCACATCAATCCGATTGGCATGTCACCTGGAATGACGGAAAAGACGGCATATTTATACCACTTCAGAACCTCCTTGACACCTTGCAGCACATGTGAAACCACGTAAATCCTCAAAAACGGTGGGTATTCATTCAAGTCTCCCGAGCCTCTAACTCGATTGCGTTCACACCAGATATCTGACTGCCACAACCTCTGCCGACATCACCTTTGCTCGTAATCATCATTATGAATGTCAAAGAGCCTCAGAAAACAAGACCCAAGCCATAGGACGCATCATCGCGCTTCCCCTTCACGCCAGCCCACCATCCTTCAGCGCTGGCCGCCCTTAGCCTGTGCCGCCGCATCGCGATTGATAGCCTCCTCGCCGAGGACCTTGCTCGCAGCCATGAACCTATCCCTCATCAGCATCGAGCTCTGCATAGCTTCGCGCTCATCCGTAGCGCTTCCCGCCTCAACATCTCCTGCTCTCTGCCCCAGCAGATCGAACAGAGACATCCATCACCCGGGGAAGGACTCGAAAGAAGGACGATATACTCACATGCCACCGTGCCACGCACCCAGTCCCCGCATACTCTCCGCCTGCACGCTCGTCATACGAACCAGGTTCTCCGTATCCGCAAGGTTGGCAGACAGCTGAGCCAGCTGCGAATGGAGGTGTGTCTGGTGTTCTTCAGTCAGCGTCGTACTTCCCTCCATCATCCCCAAATCATCAGGGGGCGAGACGCCAAGCCAAACTCACCAGCTGCCTCGACTTGACCGCGCCGCCCGAGCTCGCCGAGATGGACGGTCTCGTCGTGTGCATATTGAGACTCCGTGTGGAAGCCATCTTGTGTTTTTCTTGCGTCTCGGCCTTTCAGGGGCTCTGGTTCTTATGGTGTTCTGGTGGCACCGGTGAGTAGTTGTCTTGCTGAAGGCATCGGTCAGTAAACCATCCACCACCGTGAAAATCGCCTCCTCAAGCGTATCGCCAATATCCCGTTCCGACGTGGTCAGATTCATACACACATCAAGTCCGTTGCGCCGCATGAAACCTACCTAAACAAAAACAATGCAAAAGTGGGGGAGGGGTAAAACACCACACATCGCCATCACCATACCATCAACTCACCTCAAAAAGACAAATGCACCGCGTCAATATCGCGTTTCGCGTCCCGCGTCTTCTCAAATCGATAGGAGAACTCCTGACGTCAGTCGGTATGCCGTCGCGCCGTGATGTCGTCCAAACAGACTCTCCTAATAAACAATCTCATGCAGTCCAGGAAACAAACACTGAACCAGCGGTTGCACCGCCTCCCCACCAAAAAGAAGTGGACCCCGTAAACAAAACACACCCGACACTGAATCGGATCCCGCCTGCCGCGCCGCCCGTCCGTGCAACCTGCCAATCCCCGTCACCAGCTGTCTACCTACCTCCCATGATGACATGATACCCAGGTACGTGCCCCGCAGAGAGTCAGGCAACATGCCTGAACCGCACACAACCACACTTACAAGCCAGCAACAACCTTTCCCCAGTCGGCCCTTCCACCAGACGACACGCATAAATAATGACCTACATATCTGACGTGGCAAAAAAAAAACCAAGCAACGCGTTCGAATGATTTGCTGATGGATGGCAGCACTACATGTTCCCACGCGCAAGGCTGGACCAAAAAAGGTTCCAGTTCGCACGGATGGGTTCCTCCTGTCTCGACTTCAGATGGCAGCTGCAATGCATGCATCGCCTCCAATGCCTCTGAAAGTAACAGAAGGAATGTAGACATCCAGTCAGGCAGGCGCAGCAGGGCTAGCTGCTTAGTAAAAAAGAAATTGATCCTCGGCCAAGCTCACTCAATCCGTGTTGCCAGTGTCTCATCCAACCCGCGCCTGAGTTTGGCTTGTGAGAAAGGAACGTCCTCGCGAAACTGCAGATCTGCGTCATAGTCTGCTTTTTCACAAGCCACGGTCCGAGCCACAAAAGGGGCTTTTCAACACGCCTTTCACATCGTCACTCACGGTCTGAAGTCATTGAAAATATTGCTTTGAGTCTGACTTTCCATTGCGCTCAAGCTGAACGCCTAAAGGAGCTGCCTACATGCCGTGCCCCTCGAACTTTTCTAATTCCACCTCTTCCCAAACGGAGCCTCCATCCACCCTCCGTCGCCATCATCCTCATCAGCGGGAAACTAAATATTACGAAACCAAAGCCAAAATTCCCCTTCGCAGAGAGGCTCCGGCCTGGGCATGCCACCCTTCTTCTCTCAGCCATGCAATAATCTTCCCATCTTTGTATTGCCGGATCAAAAACCCCTCCGGCCCTGTCTATGCTCGTTACTTGTGATCTCAACCGGCCGCTCCCGTGGTTTGCCCACAGAGAGGCCTTCCCCCCAAAAGAAAATTTCGTCGTGAAGGACAGACACAAAAGAAAAAATAGCCTGGATAGGCTTTCCGTTTTATACACATCCAACTTCCCACGTCGCCCATCATGGCCCAAGGAACGCAAGACATTCGTCACCGCCGTAAGGTTTCGGTATGAATCAACTTTTGAAGACCGGCCACGTCCGTCACTTCGCAAATCAGAACCCATCCAGACGCCCGCCGTCGTGACGTAATCATCTGTTTCCAAACCCAACGGCGGTTCCTCGAAACCGAGCTGAAGAAGTCGTCCACGCCAATGCTGCTATTACCAGAAGTTGAAAATCTGTTCCCATCGCCACAATGCCGTATGTATGTACTGGACTATGGTCCATTCGATAAAGGAAAAAGGTCGTCGAATTAGCTATGTGTTTTTGTCGCGAATAGACCAAGACCCTGTCTAAACGTTTCGTGTCGTTATCGTGTTGCCGTGGGACGAGGTGAGAAGTTGGAGGTGTGCTCGTAGGATCAGGGTAGTGCGATTCCCATAGTCGGCAAGCGTGCCGGATGAAGGAGACGTCTCATCGTGTTCGTGTCGGGTCGCAGTTGTGCCATACATGTCAATGCCGTTCCGTGTCGCCGGCTCGGCGTCATCGCTTCGATGTGGTGAAGCAGCCAGACGCTTGGATTTACCGCACTCCTATGGGCGGGCGCGCTCCAAGACTACTCTGACTGCTGTGGGCTGAGGGCTCAGTGTCCGGTTGAGATTCACCACTGCCCGCGCTGGCGCTCGCACTACCAGTCAGACTTCTCACATTCTTCTGCTTGGGTGGAAGGAGGCCGCTCACCCCGACATGTTGCTCAACCTGCTGTGGCGCGACTGCGTTACCATGGCCGGGAGGGTATCGGGGCACGGGTTGACGGACACCGTCAGGAGGCGATGGCCGGCCGTTCATGGACGGGCCGCCATAACCGTTCGGCGGCGAAGGTCTACCGCTGCCACCTCGAATCGAAGGGCTGTACGGGTTTCCCGGGGACTGACTAGCTCGTCGAGGGAATGCTCCGTTCATGCCCATCTGCATCGGTCCTCCCATCTGCATTTCGTCCAAGCGCGAAGCCGTCAGCGAGTTCGCTCGGGATCCCGCGTGCATGGCGCCTCGATCGACTGCGCCGTAACGGTTTGACGTCATGGACAGGAGCGGGTCGTCCAAGATGTTCTCGTTCATGGGAGGCATGTTAGCGATCTGGCTAGATCGATTGCGGCCGAAGTTCGGGCGAAATCTCGAGTTTCGAACAGGGGGTGCTGCAGAATCGTAAATCTCATTCTTGTGATATTGGGCACGGTTGGGAGGAGGGGGTGCTTGTTTCCGGTTCTTCCTTGATGTGACGCTCATCATATCGAAATTCTCAGGGTCGATCATGGGAGGCGCGGGTCCAGACATGGGGTCGAAGTAGTCGTCGTCATCGTCCTCATCATCAAATGCCTGCGCGCTGTTGCGCATTGGGTGAGGTCCTGGGGGACCTCTTCTGGGAGGCGGTCCCCTCGATCTCATCCGCATCTCTCGCTCCCTCATCGCCAGCTCCCTCTGGCGCAACTCTAACTCTCGTTCACGCAGTGTCAAGTCAGAACCATCCGGGCCGGGGACGTAGCCAGGCTCGCCACCCTCGGGAATATCGTCGTACAGCATGAGGTGAGAGAACTCCTCCAATTCATTTCCTTCCAGCGATCCTCGCCTGGATGCTGCTCGAGATCCAGGTCCGGGCGGGCCACGGGGGTAGCCGTTGGGGGGGCCTCCGTTCATAGGCGGTCGGCGCATGCTCGGGGGCGGGGGCCCCAAGTTGGACGAGTTCCTCGGGCGGGGACCACGAGGAGGCATGCCGCTGCCGTTCATCGGGCGCGCGCCGTTCTGTGTGGACATTCTTGGCGCCGGTGACTGGGAGGTGGGAGATCCCGGGGCTCCCATGCCATCGACAGGCTTGGGCGGCCTCTGGCGGTTGACGATATTCAGGTTGTGAAGAACAGCGTAGAGTGTTTCGATACGCGGAACGGGAATGCGGGCTTCTTTGGCCAGTTTGATCGGGGAACCAAGATATGTCTCGACCTCCATCGGGCGTCTCGCGATGTAATCCTGCCACATGATGCTCTCGGTAGGCGTGGGCTTCGTCATTTCGTCGATTGTCTTTTGCTTGAAATCGGGTGCGAATTTGCAACCGTGCGCCGTCGCGAGGGCGAGCAGTTCATCGATCACGTCGTTTACCAGGTCCCTAACGCCAATCTTCTCGAGCAGCTGGGTATGGTTTGCTGTCTCGAATATCACACTCGCAGGGTGGAATGCAATCGGACTAGGCATTTGTCAGTAAATGATTGGCGCCAATGTCCCCAGGGGTGCTTACCCAATGACCCTCTCGTACTGCTGTTGGCGAATATTCTGAGAAACCTTGCAGTCAACCTGGCCCGTTGTCAATGTCATGGCAAGCGCCTGAGCCATATCCTCCTGAATCGCCGGCGGGATGTTATCATTCTTGCTGGAGGGTCCGACCCAAATTTCAGTAGATCCCTTGTGCTCGAATTCGCTCTGGCCAAGCTGAGAAAGCTCAGCGTTGGAAACCAGCGACAGGACGACATTGGTAGGGAATCGTTCTTCGATAGCGGCTTCCACACCGAGTGTATGAGTCGTGTTGACCAGGATGCATGTGTGCTGGGGAGTAACAACAGCATCGATGACGGCGGCGAGGTCGTAGACGTCGGGAAGGGCCTTGATGCACAGAATCACATAATCGAATGGACCGACGGTGTTGGCGGCTTCTTCGGGAACGCGGACGACTACAAACCCGCGTTAGCAAGTGTTTCCTGTGACTTTCTGGAATACTGGAGGTTGCTTACCATGTCGAGGCTTGAAGCGTTCGTTGCCAAAGACGGGTGACCTGCAGTCCCTTGATTAGACGCTGCGCGGAAGGCTCGGCAGGGAGCAAAACGTACTTGAACGAGATGCCGTATTGCGCAACATGATCATATCCGGACTTCCACACGAGTGTAACGTCGCAGGCATTGGTGGCCTGTAATCTCCATGACAAGAAGGCAGAAACTGGATTTCCTCCCACTGAACACACGCTCATTAGCTCACTGCTGGTGTTTTCTTCGGCCATAGCGAATCGCGTTCGACACGATGCACGAGCACCGGTGCCTGAAGCGAGGGAGAAAAAAAAAAGAGAGGGGTGGTAAGGAAAAAAACGAGTGTGGTTTTGGGGTTCAGGACGGGAAAGGTGTAATGGGGGGAGGGAAAGCCGGGCTGACGGGTAGAGATAAAGGGACACAAAATTCCGATCCACACGGTCGCACCGATGGAAGAAGAAGCAATTATTGGAGCGGGCGGGAAGAGTTGAAGCCAGGGAAATGGACGCACCTGAGAGGATCTTGAGCCGGGGCGTCATGGGTGCCATGATGGGCCCAAATGTGGATTAGCTGGTGGGCTGGCCAAGTGGTCGCCTGTTGTACCCTCTGTACACCACTCTCTCACGACAACGCAGCGCAAGCCGACGTCGTGAGCCTTGTGCAACGGACGGCGTATGGAACAGCCGCCGGATGTGGCTTTCGTTCGATGGTTCGCCAGCAACGAGATATGGCTGGTGCAATAGTGTGCCGTCAAAGTATCGCCGACACAGTTCGCAATTCGTTTCTTCTTTAGTTGTTCGAAATCCCCTACTGAGCGGCAGCAGGTCGGCAGGTGGGCGCGTTGTTGGGTTCGATAGGCCTCAGACCCAGACCCATTCGATTATGGGACAAGCGTATCGAGGCGGGTTTGGGGTGACGGGGAGATGAAGCGATTCGACGACCGATAGACTCTCTTTCTTCCTTCTCGTAGTCTGTGGTAGCGCCAAAGACGAGGTAGACCGAGGCGTTTTTTTGTGTGTGTTTTGTCAACACAACAGAATTAACGAACGTGACGCCTGGAATGGCTAGTCGAAGTCGTGGCGGGCCTGTCGAGCTGATGAAGGTGGGCTAACAGAATAAGGCCCGTTCGAAATGGGGGAAAGGGCGAGGCAATGCAGATGCAGCTGGTACGTGAAGCAAGAGCTGAAGCAGGCGCAGACGCGAAAGCACACACAAGAACGGGTAGCTAGGTAGGTAGGTAGGTACTAGGTCGAGAGAGGCTGCCGGGGAAGGAATCTGCAAAGCAACGAGAAGACTGCCTATGTAACGAACGGATGGTTGACCAAGAGCGTGTCGTGTTTCGAAGACTGGTCGGCCTGGGGGAGGACAGCGAACGGGGGGCGTGATCGTCGAAGGAGATGACGAGGTTTAGGATTACCAGAGGGCCAAAAAAGGAGACGGGGGGGTGAATGTGTGTTGTCTGGCGTTTCGTAGGACAACACTTTTTTTTTTTGGTTCACTCGTGCGAAAAACAACGAGGAATTGGGGTGGGAAGAGAGATCAGAGGAAGGGGGGAAAGGACGGGATGATGGCAGAAGGAGGGTGAGCCAAAGGTGGTGGAGAGCGGCAATGGCTGGACGAGGCGTGTAAGGTGAGGTAAGGTCAGGTCAGGACAGGTCAGGCCCGGCGCAGGGTGTGAGAGAGGTACGCAGGTAGGTAGGCAAAGTACCTTTTAGCGTGTCGTAAGGTGAAGGAGGTACTTTGGGCGTGTAGACTGCGGGCAGTTAGGTACGGCAAGGCAAGGCAAGGCAGGTCGGCTGCAGAGTGTTCCCCTCCCCTATGTAGGTGCTGTAAGGCAGGGCAGGTACTCGCTACTTGCTGGGATGGACGTGAGATTTGCAAGCTGGCAGCGGGGATTGGGGACTGGGAATTGTGTGCGCCGCCTTCGCCTTACGTGGAAGAGTGGATGAGGATGAGGTGGTGTGCGAGGTGTGAGGTGGTGTGTTTCGGGGAAAGACACCTACCTCTATGGATGTGAGGCCTGGTCTGGCAGTACGAAGTGCGGATTGCGCCTGGCGATAGGACGGCCTGGTGGGGTTAAAAGTGAAAAGCCACGCGGTAACGACCCGAAAGACGATGTGGTGACTGGACGAGTGCAAGAAGACACTCCTGGAGGCCCAGCGTCTGCGGAAGGCGGGCACGAGAGACGACGACAGGGGGCGGGGCAGGGTGGCCGGCCGTGGAGCGAGGGATGTACTCCAACCTTAGGCGCCGCCGGGGAGGTACACGACGGAACTCTCAGACCAGGCACAGAAAGAACTCGGGCTGCTAGTTGAGATTGAGAAAGAAACCTAAGCACATGGACAGGCAACAGCAGGTAAGGGTCCGGCGGGTATTCGGGGTGGTAAAGTGGAAGTCAGGAAGGACGTGGAAGGAGCAGATGGGACATATCCGCGACGAGGATACCTCAGAACAGGCCTGGACACATCCTGCCTCGGGCACATACCCAGACAGTGAATGGGCGACTGACAACCTGCTGGGTGACTAAGGTACTGCGTAGACGGACACGCAAACAAGACAGGAGGATGGGATATGGACTGGAACAGACTGGACTGGACTAGACGGTTGGGATGGATGGATGGATGGCCATCAGATCGGAGTGAGTGGGTTGCTCTCCTACAGCAGCCGCAGTAAAGATGTACACTGCGGCGTGCGTCGTACATACGGCTTCCGGGCTGCTTAGATGGGGATTGATGCACAGATTTCCATGGACCATTTGCATCCTACATACTAGATGCCGATGCGGATACACATTCGGCACCCTTTTCTTCGACTTGTATGTTCCAAATCGTGCGCCTTTTCTCGTTTCTGCAAAGCTGCGTCTGCGGCCTCTCCAATGTAGAGGATACATGCCATTTGGATGCTGGGCATCAATCTGCAAATACGGTTGCTTCCTTGCGTTTTTTTTTCTCTCTCTCTCCCTCTTCCCTTGTTGACTGATTGCCTGGCTGGCGCTGGTACGCTAAGGCTAAGGAAAAAACCGATGGCAGCGACCCAACCCCCGGACTGTGGATTTGCGACTGTGGATTTGCGACTGTGGATGTGCTTCGGGAAGGGCGGTGCAGGTTGCGTCTTCCCTGTCGAACTGTGCCTCTTTTTTAGGCCACTGTCGGTCGCTTGTGTTGTGTGCTGTGTTGTTCAACGGGCAAGGGAGGAAGGAACTGTTTTGCTGGGTTGGGTCCCGCCTTCTCTTTTCCCTTGACTTTCCTGGGAACTGCCTCCAGGGACAGACAGGTACGTACCCTTTCCTTCCATGTCTCTTCCATTCTCAGTCCCGTCCTGTCTGACTGGCATCGCCATAGAGAGAGTCAGGTACGTACACAAACAGGCAGATTTTCTGTGGTTCCTTTCAATTCTTGCTGCCCGGGAAGCTATTGTCCAAATTAATTCCCTATGATCCGGAAACATGACATTAATTGACATTCTGTACGCCCGCCCGACCGAACTCTGGGCTTGCTCGCCTCCCTCCCTCCCTGCCCGATCAGCTCGTCAGATACGTGGATGCATGGCACATCATGTACACGTACAGGAACACTTCCGAGTCCATGTCGTCTACGGATACATAGTGTGATAGTACGGCGCAGTAACCTCCCAACTGGGCAACCCTCCTAGCGCGCCGCCGCCCCCTTTGTCGTTGCGACCCGTTGGTTCCTTGGACAGCGTTGCAGGCGCAGAGAAGGACAAGACGTGGACGCCGCCGCCGCCGGTGTGTTGCGCGCGCGGGCAGCGGGATCTTCCTCCACTGGCCCGGGGGTTGATGTCCCAACTAGCAGTAGTCTCGACGGCCCATCAGAGATGGCGCGGGCACTGACTGTCCTGACTAGCCTACTTTCGTGCTGGATCAGGATCAAAATCACTGACGAGTTTTCCCATCCCACCCGGCGATAACGACTGGCTTGTACTGGTTCCTGTGCCCGGCGGGCCGAATGTTGGATCGGTGTCTTTGAGCACGCGTAGAAGAAGAAAAGTTTCGCACCTGATGAAGAATAACAAAGCATCAGCAAGCAACCTCAGTCATTGAACAGGGCAAGATGGGAAAGCAATTGGACCCCCAAAGCTTGTTGATAATCAACGACGCCGTACGCAATTGAAGCTGATTTGCAGGTACCCATCCTGCCATCCCCCACCACCCACAGTTGAGTCTGCGAGTGTGGCTCTACTGGCCTTCACTTCGGGCTGATTACGAGGGTGAGCCTGTTTTGCCAAGGAAAATGACAGTGCGTCGCAGGCGTGCAGGCCAGGGCGTGTATTGACTCTTGAGGTGTGATGCAATGCAGAAGCAGCGGTATGCGCCGCAAAAGCCGGACAAACAAGGCGGACGAGTCGGAAGATGAGGATCCCATGAAGAAAGGAAAGAAAAGTGCTGACAGCACAGAAACCTTCGGACTGTTGCAGCTCCGTTCAAGACAGTACAGAGGCATCCCATCAACAAGCGTAAGAACAGGCCCAGCCTGCGAGGTTGGTAGGCAGCTGTTGGCAGTCTTCATCCTCAGCTCAGGCGCTGTACTTCATCTCAAGACGTGGTAAGCCGCATCCAAGCGTAGGGCAGACCTGGCAGATCGCCCAGGCGCGCTTTCGTGTCGAGCGTGTCGTGGCATGGCGTCGGCAACTCCCTTTCGACTGACCGGCCTTTATCTTGCGCCGGACGTCCGAGCAAGAACAGCACAGATTAACTGACAACCGCAATGGCAACTCCCGGCGCGTTGGGGCTTCTGTATGTCTCGTTTGCCGGCGTTCACCTGCCACCGCTTGTGTGCATGGGACTGGTTCATGAGATAAGGCCCTTGTCGGTTTTTTGGTTGTCGCCCAAGTGGCTTCATGGAGAAACAGTCAGATCTGAGGTTCGGTTTGACTAGGTCAAGGCCTCGACTGACTGACTATCCTCACACTTGAATGGAACCTGCAGATTCCTCTGGTCACAATAGTGTGCGAGTGCAACACCAAACATTCGTGTCGCAAAGGTTGGCGTGCTCAGGGGTGTCAGTAGAGGACTGTAGGCCGTATTTTTTTTTTTTCTTTGCGTGGGGCAGTCATCAGCATACGATGCAGTCAACACGCGGGGGGACACGTCAAGTCGTCCCTCCCAGTGGCTGAGTCCTACCTAGCGTGGAACCGCGAAGCCGCAACCTTCTGGTTGGATTTGGCGGTGGGGAGGGGATGCCGGTCGGGAGGTACTGAAATGCTTGGTACCGTATTGCGGCATCGCAGACTTTGTGGTGCGCCCGAAAAAAGGACTGAAGACAGGCTCGGGAGCCCACCTCGGGCGTCCAGCTCGGGGATGCGGTACGTACCGGAACGAACGGCAGCCACTAATTGGTTTTCTTCTCTGCAAGTCGGACTTTCGAATGTTCGTCGAATTTGACGAGATGCTTCGCTCGACAGGCGGGACGGCGGGCTGACCGTTGTTGATTGCAGACGGAGCGGGCGGGCTCCGACTCGCCGTGGCGAACCGATGGGACGGCATGGGAGCCAATGGGGCGGTTGCAGAAGGAATAAACCAAAGTAAAAG